GAGGCAGTTGCTGTTCTGTGTGGTTTCGTTTGGGTATCATCCTCTTTGACGCACACCGAGAAGCAGAAAGGTAGCAGTTCAGGGCAGGTTTGGCAGCTGTTTGCTACCTTTCTGCAGCTCAAAGAGGCGTTCAAAATCCGTATCTGAAGTGACTCGGGTCTATTCGAAAGCGGGCAGCCGTGGTCCTCCAGAGGTTTGTAGCCTTCAGTGATGAAGTCTGATGGGGGTTGTAGTCCAAAACCATTTGGAGGTTTTGGATGCCTCCCATCTTGATCCCGGCACGTGGCAAGACCTTCTGCGAGTGCCGAGCGTGGCTGTGGGGAGATTCACCTTTTCCAGAAGAGCTCACCCATCTCTCCAGCTTGTCCTCTTTTTTCCCTTTTGGGGTAGCCGGAGGCGCCGGGGTTTGACATTGACAGGAACAAGGAGGAGCTGCCCCCCCACCAGAAGGGTCTCGGGCTTTGAACCAAAGCAGAGTGAACCCCGATTTTCTTTGGACTCGGAGGGTTGGATGGTAAACTGTTGAAAATTTTGGGTGAAGTCCACGTGACAGTCAAAGCAGCCTTTTTTTGGCTCTGGGAGCCATAAAATAAAGATGTTCCGGCCACACAAGGAGAAGAGAGTGTTTTTAGGCTGCTGCTGATGGGGTCGTGCCGTCAATAATTCCCAGTTGCTGGATTGGGGGGGGGAAGAAAGGGGGGGCTGAGATTTAGGTACAGTCCTGAGTGCCAAAGGAATTTCCTCAGCTTCCCTGTATGCCTGTTTTGTCTCTTTTTTTAAAAAAATCAAGATCCTAGTCCTCATGGCAATAAAAATCAGCTTGGGCGTCTAGGACTGGCTGATTGTTTTGGAAAAAGCCCTAAACTCAAGAGTGGTAGTTGAAGGCGGAGGGAGGGTTCATCGTGTTTCGAAGAAGGCAGCTGCGTAGGGAAATTCTGAATCTGTAAAGCAGCATGGTATGAGAGAGAGAGAGATGGGGGGTCGAGTATCTGTGTGAACGATTAAATTTCCACCAGTTGTGGGCATTCCAGAGCTTTGAAACCATCAAAATAACGGTTTTTAAAATCGGAAGAGAATCCAGTTCTTCAACTGGCTTTTGAAACAGGAAATAGAAGAAGCATGGTGACCCTTCCAGATTAAATCTCAGGCCCTAATGATTGACTTTTTAGATTCATGGCAGCGCTCTAAATCCGCTCTGGATTTGGCTCCAGGCAACGGAGGAGGAAATCTGGGCGGTCTGAACCGCTTTGGGCAGAATAGGTTCCAGGACCCCGGAGAGCTCTCCCACAGCGCAAGCTTGACCTAAGAGTCCCTTACCGAGATCACACCGAACCTATTCCGGAGAGAAAAATTTAGGCTTTGACATTTCGTGTAAAACCTGGAGTAGATCCATCATCACCTCTGTGGAGTAGGGCTCCCGTATCCATGGGGGATCAGTTTGAATCCTCCCCGGCGGATGCTGAAAAACGTGGATTATAGGAAACATCATATTTATAGTGAACATGAGAATCTCTGGCTCCCTCTAGTAGTGGCCAAGTTTTGGTAATTTCTTTAGAAATATATATTTCTAGGACTTCTAATATTGTCAGACCATGGATAAGCGAATCAGCAGATACTGATCCCGCAGATAACAAGGACCCTACTGTGTACACCTTTGAGCACACGGAGCAGCAGTTGTCTCTGATGAACCTGTTGGGATAAAATTTATTTCCTATTATTCCCCCCCCCCCAAAAAATGGTTTTTAATGTCTAGCGTGCTTGCCATCTGACAGTGAGACTGTGCTACAGGTTCTGGACTGCTCTGGAGATTTGTGAGGGCAACGTACTCCCCCTTTGGGTCTTAATTTTGCATGGCTTTTTGGAGAAGTGACTGGTGGGTGATAAAAGGGGAGCCCACCTGCCTGGTGGGATGCCGATCCCTCCGAAATTGGCTTTAAAAACAAGCCAACAAAAACCCCAATCGGATTGGCATCGGGTCGTCAACGTTGCTTTGCTCCAGGACCAAATCTGGCGTGTTTGGATCCACTTCTGAGTACGCCCTGCCTAGAAAACCCAGGAAAAGATCGCCGTATTTCGTTTGATGGCGTAACGATGATTGTAGAAATGGAGATAAATACATATTTTGTTAAAAGAGGCTGCCTTTCCTTTTCTGTGGCCAATTGCTTCCAGGAAACCTGGTTTGGAAGGCAGTTTTGCACCCCTTTCTCAAGGAAAAGGCATCTCTGGTGACTCCTAGCTGAAAGGACCCTGAGTGATTAGCTGCCTTGCCTGCCTTGCAGGGGTGTAAGGAAGACTGGAACTCCGATAAATGCCAAGAGGTGTTTACAATCCAGCCAAGGGGGGGGGTCCCTGGGGTCCTCCTACATAAAAACTGGGTGGCTCAGGGGTCGAGGTCTCTGGCTGCGGAGCCCGAGGTTGGGAGTTTTAAGTCCCTCCCTGGCAAGGGGCTGGACTGGATGATCTTTAGGGGGCCCCTTCCAGCTCTGCTTTTGCTCAGATTATTCTTATTTAATTCAACGAATGACTCTTGGGTTTGAGCCAAGCTGCGTGTTGGAGGAAAGAGCCAAAGAAACAATACACCGGAGATAAATCACCGCTCTTATTTCAGTAACACGGGTGCCAAGCCCTTCCCCCCCTCGGGTGGCCGAATGTCCGGACCACGCTTTCAGGTGAATTCCACGGCTGTGCCCAGAACTCGGCAGACACGCTCCCCTCGAAAATGCTCGCCGGCCTCTCCGTCTTAGGCCTCGTCCTCCTCGCAGCCTTTCGGATCTTGGGCTTCCTGGATTTTCAAGATGTCCCAACGGGGTGGCTCCAAGTTTCCGGGCGGCGGAGGGACCCCCTCTGGGGCTCCTTCCGGGGCTCCTTCCTTGCCTTCCCGTTTGCCGGGAGCTGGGGGTGCCTTGGCTTCTGCCCCCGGGGATGCCCCGTTGTTCCGACTTCTCGGGATGTAGGACTGGAGGATCTTGAGGAAGCGCCACTCCTCCTGCTCGGACGAAGGGGAGGCCTCTGTCTTCCGAATGGACAGGGTTTCGTCCTCGCAGCCTTTTGGGTCTTGGGCTTCCTGGATTTTCAAGATCTCCCTCCCGCTCCGCTCGGCCAGGAAGGGGCCTTCCCAGTCTGTTCCCTCGTTTTCTGAAGGCCCATCTTCATCACAGCCCTTGGGGTGGTGGGCTTTCTGTGTTTTCAATCCATCGGAGTCCCTCGTCTCCTCTTTGAGAGGGGCCACCACCTCTACCGTCTTCTTCGGAGAGGATGCTTCCTCCGTGTGCATTTTGGGGGCATATGCCTGCAGGAACTTCACGATCTTCCACTCCGAAGGTGTCACCACCTCCCCTTCCTTACGAGGAGGGGGTCCTTCGTCGCAACCTTGCGGATCATAGGCTTCTTCGATTTTCAGCAACCCTTCGAGCTCCCACTCACTCGAAGGAGGGACCACCTCCTGCTCCCCGGGGAGGGGTTCCTCGTCACAGCCCTTGGGGTCTTGAGCCCGTTGGATTTCCAGGATGTCCTCCGACCGACGTTGGCCGGCTGATGGGGTTGCCGGCTCTTCTTCACCAGGAAGCGTATCCTCCTTGCAGCCTTGAGGGTCTTGAGCCCGTTGGATTTCCAGGATGTCCTCCGACCGACGTTGGCCGGCTGATGGGGTTGCCGGCTCTTCTTCACCAGGAAGCGTATCCTCCTTGCAGCCTTGAGGGTCTTGAGCCCGTTGGATTTCCAGGATGTCCTCCGACCGACGTTGGCCGGCTGATGGGGTCGCCGGCTCTTCTTCACCAGGAAGCGTATCCTCCTTGCAGCCTTGAGGGTCTTGAGCCCGTTGGATTTCCAGGATGTCCTCCGACCGACGTTGGCCGGCTGATGGGGTTGCCGGCTCTTCTTCACCAGGAAGCGTATCCTCCTTGCAACCTTGAGGGTCTTGAGCCCGTTGGATTTCCAGGATGTTCCTCTCGCCCACCTCTTGTTCCTCAGGCGGTAGGACAACTTCTGCCTGGCCGGGGACGTCTTCTACAGCAGGAGCTTTTGGGAGAACCCTTTGAAGCATCTCTGTGAGATTCCATGCCGGTTGCCCCACCGGTTGGTCGGCTTGGTTCTCCGTCGCCTGAGGCTCTTCCTCCTTGCAACCTTGAGGGTCTTGAGCCCGTTGGATTTCCAGGATGTCCTCCGACCGACGTTGGCCGGCTGATGGGGTCGCCGGCTCTTCTTCCCCAGGAAGCATATCCTCCTTGCAGCCTTGAGGGTCTTGAGCCCGTTGGATTTCCAGGATGTCCTCCGACCGACGTTGGCCGGCTGATGGGGTCGCCGGCTCTTCTTCCCCAGGAAGCATATCCTCCTTGCAGCCTTGAGGGTCTTGAGCCCGTTGGATTTCCAGGATGTCCTCCGACCGACGTTGGCCGGCCAATGGGGCCGCCGGCTCTTCTTCGCCAGGAAGTGTATCCTCCTTGCAACCTTGAGGGTCGTAAGCCTCTTGGATTTTCAGTATGTCCTGGTCCTGCCCTTTCTTCCCGAAAACGGAGGCCACCACCTCCTCCTCCTCTTTGGCAGGGAGCGGGACATCTTCTCGTAGCACCTGCTCCTGATCTTCTAGATTGGGAAGGTGGTCCTTCAGCCAGAGGAGAGCTTTGGGGCTCTGCAGGGCGTATTCCATCAGCTCGTCCATGGAGCATTGGGCCTCGGCCAGGACCTCGAAGCTTTTGTTCAGGAGGCCGCGGGACAAGTCCCCGAAGTGGTGAGCCGAGTCGAAATCCGAGCGCAGGTCTGCCATGTCCCGGCAGGTCTGGTAGAGCTTCTTCTGGAGCTCCTCAGGGAGGTCCTTCAGGTGCGCCAGGAGGTTCTCGTACGTGCCGTGGAGGTTGTGAGCCAGGCTGCGGGACATCTCCAAAGCTTTCTCCTCCATCTGTCAGGAAAAACAGAAAAACGGCTCAGGTTGACCGTTCCAAATGAAACGAATAGAAGGTGCCTGGATTCCACCCCCGCCACCAAAACCCATCAGACTTGAGGCAAGAGGGGTATGTGAAACCCTCTGTTGGCCCTCTCCATAATTTGGAAGGGCATTCATTGCTTTGCAATCAACACTAAGAAGCCCTAAGAGAGACCATTTGGGAAGAGGGCCAGCTCCGCGGAGAAAGGGTACCTCAGAAGGAAGCATGTTGTCCTCCTCCACAGGCAGAGGGGTCTCTGAAGCAAGCTGGTCCTGTTTGTCACACCCTGGAGACGTCACGGTGATGTTCGCCATGTCTCTGAGGACGTGCTCGGGGAGAGATGGCGCCGGCTTTGTCACCTGCTCCGGGCGGAGGCTCTGCGGGGCAGGCAAAGAGACATGGCCCGGGCCGCTGGTCTCTGGTGGTGGTGTGACTCTTTGCTCGGGGCTGCTCCTCTCAGCGGGAGGGGTCATGGCCTTCTCAGGGGTGGCCTCCGCGGGGGGTGGGGTGGGCTCAGGATGGCTGATCTTGGGGGTACTCTCGATGCTGCTGCTCTGAGCCAGGGGCTGGCCAATCTCTTCCAGCCCGGTGCTCTGTGCGAGAGGCGCTTCGAATTCTATTCTGGTGCTTTCGGCGAGAGGTGCTCCGATTCCTATCTTGGGGCTTTCTGCGAGAGGCGCTTCGAATTCTATTCTGGTGCTTTCGGCGAGAGGTGCTCCGATTCCTATCTTGGGGCTTTCTGCGAGAGGCGCTTCGAATTCTATTCTGGTGCTTTCGGCGAGAGGCGCTCCGATTGCTATCCTGCTGCTTTCGGCGAGGCGCACGCCAACCTCCTCATTTTGGGACTCTGCCTCCTTCAGCTCCCTGAAAGGAGCCTGGATCGTATGCCGATCATGTCTCTGGGTCCATTCCACCGTGATGGCACTCAGCTTCCGGAAACTCTGATTCTTCTGTGGGTGGTCTTCATGCTGGACCTCCCCAATCTGGGGTCCCCCGTGAGAATGACAGTGAGGCAGGATAGAACAAAGGACCAGTTAGGTTCCACACTTTGAGTAACTCCTTTAAAGTTCACCCTAAAATCTGAAGCGGATTCAGTCCCTCACACACCTCAGTGATCAATATGGGTGGGATTTCTGGGTGGGACTACAAATTCCATCCTTTTCCACGCTGGGAATTCTACTTACCTGAATTTGGCTCACCTGGGAGAAGGGCCTAAATCAGAAGGCTTTGAGGCTTAGCTCGGCCCAGCTTCCTGTTCAGAAAGGACAACTCCCAGCTAGCACTGGGACAGGAAGCTCGGCCTAGCTCGGCCTCAAAGCCTTCCAGTTCAGGCCTTGTCGCCCAGGTGAGCTACATTCAGATAGCTGGGACTTCCTGCTTTAAAAGAGTGTGTCCCAGGACCCTGGACCCTTTTCCCTAGGAAGCTGGGCTGAGGGCGAAGGCCAGGTCTGTTGTATCTCTGGCCTTAATATGGTAAGCCATGGAAGGCAGCCCATCTAGGAGAAGGAAAACTCCGATTTCAAACCTCCACTGCCTTGTGGCTATATCCACTGATGGAAAAGGCTTCAGGAGTTAACCTCGAGGCAAAATCCGGAGCTGGAGTCCCGAAGGCAGCATGTGTCGTTCTGCCAACTCCTGCGACATTGCTGGAACCAGTTGTATTGGCTCTTGCCTTTCCATTGGACCATTTCAGCAATGTGGAGAGGGGGGATCTGCTGCTTGGGTAACAGCCTATCCTCCATATTACCTTACCCGGGCTTCATGCTCTGGAGAGGACACTCCTCGATTCAGAGCATGGTACCATAGTCTCTCGAGACTGAAGGATGCCTATACCAGCCTTGGTAGGATCCACTATGGAGGAGGATGGGATTCATAATCCAGAAAATCTGAAAACCCATGGCTAGTTATCATTGTATGTGGTGAGGAGAAATAAAAAGGGGAATATCCTTAAAACTGCAGCTGCATTTTAAGCATTTTCTCCCCTTCCACAAGGCAAAAAATAGACTTGCTTGATTTTTTCCAGGGTGACCATTCTCGTAAATTGGGCCTGATCCCCATGCACAGCGAGGCAGAGCGGCGCGTACCAAATTTATGGTCTGATGGAGCTGGCACAGGCTCTCTTGAGTGTTGCGCCGGGCCATCCTCAGCTTGCTGAGTGCCATCATGTACGCCCGCTGGCGGAGTTTGCTGGAGAGGTTGTTGATCCGGTCCAGACACATCTGGACTTGGTGGTCAGCTGCCGAGTCGTCCAGCTCTTCCACAGCTTTTTTCAGGTTTCCTGGAGAAAGGGGAGAAAGCTGTGGTTGCGGGCAGACCTTCCAAAACCATATTTTTAACAATATATCAAAATTGGCTACCAGAGAGGATTCTCCTGAATTTATCTGGCTTGGCCTTAAAAAAATCACACAACGTGTAAGAGGCAATGGACCCCAAGCTGACCACTGATAACATTAACAATCACAAAGTCCAGTAAGAGCTCTGTATTCCTGGGATCAATATCTCGGGTTTCTCTTGTCAGCAGTCTGAAAATATTAAAAGGAAAAAAACCCGAAAGAAATATATATTTTCAAGGTTATTTACCAGAACTGGCCACTAGAGGGAGACAGAGACTATGCTATGTATTCTTGATGGAATACATAGCATGCTTGTTGGCTCCCTCTGTTGGCCAGTTCTGTTAAATACACAGTGAAAATACTTTTTTCTGTTTTTTTCTTGTCTTTTACTATGCTATGTATAGCGTTTGCTGCTATCCACAGTTTTCAGCTTCCGTGGGGGGTGGCTTGGAACCAGTCCCCCATGGATCCTGGGGTCTACAGCAGCTGATCCGTCCTTCCCGGCAACCGAGCCCCTCAAAACAGTGTTACCTATCTCTTCCTCGGTGAGGGGGAGGTAATGATCCATGAGTTCGTCGGACTTATCCAGCAACCGGTCCACGGTCCGCACGAAGAGCTGGCAGACTCTGCAGTTGAGGATGCTGTGCGGCTCGGTCAAGTCCGTCTCCGAGTCGAAGCCGGCCTCCAGTTGCTTGAATTCGTTGGCAAACTTTGAAGCGGCCACCTCGGCCTCCATCAAGATGTTGGCTGTGGTTTCCCCCAGAACCTGGATCAGAACAATCAGTACGGAGTACGTGATCAGGCACTGAAGGCCAAGGAAGGACTTTTGACCTCCTTTCTGGTGTTAATCCAACTTTCAGATCAAAGCCACGACCCCCCCCCCAGGGATTTTTGGCTAGAGGAGATGATGACTCCACCCGCAGCCGACTCCCAAGGCTTCCCTGCTTTCTCCGAGCTGTTAGAACTCCAGAAGAGCTACGCAACTTGAATGTTGACAATGAAGGAACTGAAATTGTTTAGAGATTTTGTATCATCAATCCGAACCATCAATCCAAACGGGAACCCCTGGCCAATAATCAGAAGACTCAGAAGAGCATCAGTGAAAGAACTAGAAAAATCATCACATGTCAGGAGGATGTGTCATGGGAGACCAAGATGCTTCGTACCACGCACAACCACAACCCGATGCCTTCCTGATTTCTCTGAGGTGAACCATAATCCTCGCAGCAGCTGACAGATTTCCCCCACCACCAATAAGAGTGTTTCCCATTGGAATACAAAGTATTTGGGAAGGAACTGGCTTTCAGTGGGCAATCAAGAGCCGTTGACTTGACAAAAGACCCCCTCCTGGTAGAACCAGAAAGTTGTTAAAACTGGTCTGGATCAACACAACTTTCTCTTATTATTGTTAATTTGGACTTCCCTGGGATCTAATTTTTTGCTGTCACAATGAGAGGCCCCAACTTGCATACTTATCACAACCTTTCCTTTCCCAATTCCTTGTGTGTGTTCCGTCACTTGAGGCCACCACGTTTCAGATCCACCACGCCAAATTACTTTACTTTACTTTTACTTTATTTAGACTTATACCCCGCCCCTCGAAACAAAGTCTACTCGGGGCGGCTTACAAAAACGAAACAAAGTCTACTCGGGCCGGCTTACAAAAAAATGATAACATACAACTGAATAATATACTTATTAAAACTAATACAGTAATACAATAGCTAACTCATGGATATATACATTATCAAGATGGGGAATTACAGAAACGAAACAGTTAATTGACTGGAGGGAAGGCCTGCCTAAAGAGCCAAATTTTTAAATGGCTTTTAAAAACACCCAGCGAGGGAGCCAGGCGGATTTCCGTTGGTAGAGTATTAGAGTAGAGTATTACCTTCTCTATGGTGAAATCTGTGTCTTCCATAATGCTCATTGGAAACATCGCCTCCAGAGGGGTAGGAAGCAGATCCTGCTCGCCCGCGATCGCTCGGTCCCCCTCCGGTAAGATTTCCTGGGTTATTATTTGGGGGATCACCCCTGAGTGATCTGGAGACAGGTCCTCCGGCGTGTCCCATCCCGCATCTTCATCTTCCCGGCTGCTGCTGCTGTTTGTGACGGGCAACAGAGCTGTGGAGAAACCTTGGTTTTACCTCTCATCCCAAGGCACTCCTTTGAAAACCGGCAAGTCCTCCCTGGTGGAAAACAGCCGAAACCTCTCTTTCTACCCCTCCCAAAAAGGCCCATTCTGTGCTTGTGGAACTCCCTGCCTCATGAGGTGCTGGGCAGCTGTGCGCTTCTGCCTCTTCCGAAAAGGATATATGCCACATCGGCTTGTATAGGAATATTGCAATTCAGAGAAGCCGACCGGGGGGGATACCAAGACAGGCCAGTCACAATCTGTGTTCATGAAACATGGAGAAGTAACTTTGGGGGGGGGGCAAAATGTCTCTGATCCCTCGGGCCGGCTGGGGAGGCTGTTAGTGACAGTACCCCCCCGAAAAAGGAACTTTTCAAAGTTCCTTTGCTGTTGGGGGGGCACAATTTGGGGTTTTTCTAGATACAATTTAGGCTTATCAATAAACCACCAGCAACATCCATTTCCACTGTTGCTTGGATCCTAATGATCCATGTCCCTTTGTCCCACCTGACGGTGAGTTCTAATTCTGACTTCTGCCACCAGGAATTCTGGGGCTGGTAGTTCTCGAGAGGGCACCGAACTGGCAAGGCCCTCGTGCTTTTTCCGATGACGCCCAACTTCAGCCTTTCAACTTAGCAGGATGGTGGCCCGGATTTCCCCCTCCAGGTCAACAGGGGCCACTCATTCCCCAACCCCTACACAGATGATGATGATGATGATGATGATGATGATGATGATGATGATGATGATGATTGCGAGTGCTGGTTTCCCCCTCTGTCCCTCCCCTCTTACTCACGGTGCATCTCCAGATGGTCCTGTATTGAATCCAGAACGACCGACTCCAAGTCCTGGGTGGATAAATAGTCCCCGGAGAGGCTGTCGGTTTCTCTCTGCCCGAGCTAAACAACACAATAAGTGGCTCTGGCGTTACGGTGTCTTTCCACGAGACCTCTTGAATGACTGCGGGCGCGTGGGATTCAGATCTCTGGCTGTGGAGCCAAAGGCTGGGAGTTCGAATCCCCCCCCGGGCCTCCTTGACAGGGGCTGGACTGGGACGCGTGGGATTCAGATCTCTGGCTGCAGAGCCAAAGGCTGGGAGTTCGAATCCCCCCCCGGGCCTCCTTGACAGGGGCTGGACTGGATGATCCTTAGGGGTCCGTTCCAGCTCTGCTGTTCTAAGACCAGGATGATGATTTAAAAAACACACACACCAATCTGGCATTATACGTATAACAGATACAAGTTTAAACCTAAGTATCTGTTAAATATCAGCACAGTATGTATGTATGTATGTATGTATGTATGTATGTATGTATGTATGTATGTATGTATGTATGTATGTATGTATGTATGTATGTATGTATGTATGTATGTATGTATGTTGTTGTTGTTGTTGTTGTTGTTAAAGTCAATCTAAGCAAACAGTAGCCAAGATTTTAAAACAGCGTACAGTGGACCCTCAACTTACAGACGTATGTATGTGTGTATGTATGTTGTTGTTAAAGTCAATCTAAGCAAACAGTAGCCAAGATTTTAATGCCAAGATTTTAAAACAGCATAAATGGGAACTGCCTATTTATCCTTAATTCACAGCTTCAAGATTTATCTTTCCAGTCATGGACTTGGTACTCAGTGCGAAACACTAGCCTTGACACCTAACTTTTAACAGTGCCTTTTTTAAAAAAACAAAAACGAAAATAGTAAACACAGATTTCTGGCCTGGTTCATTCAGCGTTTGCTGCTTCTCGGAGAGAGTTGCAGAACATATTTATGTAGGGTGTTTTGCCCTTCATGCAGCCGACTCCGGGGGTGGAGGAAACGGTGCTGGGAGGACGACTCATGTAAAGCTATAGGCTTACTCGGCTGTGTTTCCAAGTACCTGGGCGCTCTCGTCGTCATCTGCAGGAGCGTCGATTCCCCCACATGTGGCCCGGCGTGCCGAGTTCGAAAGAGGGAGAAAAGAAGGCCGGTTAGACTGGAGAAAGCCTTACGCCAGAATTCCCATCTTGTTTTATGGTGGCTTCTCTCCAACCTGACGCGTTCCAGAGGCTGGGAAGAACAACTCCCATTCTCCTTGACCGCTCAGCCGGGGCTTATGGACACTGGGATGAGAAGCACCAGGTTCGAGGACACTCATCTGGGGTCCCTTCCTGTCGGCACCCAACTCCACCTCTTCCCTCTCACACCCACCCAGATTGAGACCCCTTTCCCACACTCGGTGACGTGTCGAATTTCCACGTTCTGTCTGTGGGTGAAGAGCTTAAATCCCGTGGTTTCATTTCCTTTGGAGGACCTTTCCTTCCTCCCTGCACGATAACTCTTCAAGGCTTTGCGCTCTGTACATGCTCAAAACCTGTCCCTCCTGTCCGTTTTAGGGCCGGGAAAGGCAGCCACATGGCCCAACCTAGTGATCAACCACAAGGCTCCCTTTTAAGAACCAAAAGCCACCCAGCAAATCCCATTTTTTAAAAATCCCATTTGTTGTTTTCCTGTGGTGTTCCAGCTGGAGGTTGCTCCCAGCTGCTGACTTGGGAGTTATAGTTTAACTTTCCCCCCATGTTTTTGGGATTCGTTCCCGAGCCCCTTGGAAGCCAGGCTGTGGGGTGGGAAGAGGGGAAGCAGCCAGTTCCACCAAAAAAACATGGGCCGCTGTTATGTGTTTGTGTTGGAATTGGAGAGCGGGTCTTGGCTAGAGTTAAGGGCTCTTAATTGCCCGCTCCCCTCCAAATCTCTTTGCATGACAGATCAGGGCAGCTCAGAACAACACAGGGCTCTTGAAGGAACTTAATTCTGATTTTCCAAGTGGGGCTGACACTTTTCCGAGGGGAACGCTCAATTTTGTGTGGTTGTGTGCCCAAAATGGCATCACCCTCTTTGTGAAGCAAAAAAGTCCCACTTTTTTGACCCTGGAGCCCCTGATTTCTCTCCGCTCCCCCTTCAGGGGCCCGTGTCATCTTTCCCACGCCGTCATGTGCTCACCGTCGGCCATGATTTCCGTGCGCCGGGCTCGCTGGGACGGGCTAAAGAGAGCCCCCGGTTGGCAACCACATCTTCCCTCTTTCCACCAAGGACTGGGAACCCCCAAGGAGGGTCCAGGATTCCATGCGGTTGTTGCAAAACACCGTGATGTCACAGACGGCTCAAGCCCAGACCACCGGCTGCCTTGACTACTGCTTGACGTCTCCTTTGGGGCTGCCCGACCAGGGAGCCTTCCGGGATCTTGCGCCGGCAGAGAGAGAAAAGATGGTACCAAGATAATGCCGTGATTCAAGGCCGGTCGGTCGAGCCGGTTGCTTCCCGCTGATGAGCCATGGCAGGATGTAAGGAAACAGGCAGATAGAGAACCTCTGGATGGGTAGAGGAGTGGAAATCTCTTTGGATCGGGGCCAGATCTTAAGCCATTTCCCCTCCTCTCCTTCCCAGGGATCCATCAATTTGTCAGGGGAAGGAAGGGAAGGAGACTGGATGTCCCATTTGCCCCTGAATCTTTGCTGGGCTGCCGGGGGGGGGGGGA